TGACGGACATAGATGCTATTACTAAGAAGGTTGAGGATCAGAGGCTCCAGATAATCCAGCTCCAGCAGGCTCCTGCAGGTGGGGCCCCCAGAGCAGGCACCTCTACGACAGCGTCCTCGGCGGAAACTCGGCAGTCAGTGCAGAATTTCACCCCATCGTTCGTCGAGCTCAAGGGATGGGTGACGGACTGGAGGGATGCAGAGAAGCGTCAGGAGGAGATGTTATCACAGCAGGCGTTGAATTCACTGCTGAATGAGGTCCTGGCTGGAGAATGGTTCAGTGGTGTGAAGGAGTTTCTGGACCTGAACCAATCCAAGAGGTTCAACACAGGTAGAGAGGCGTGGGGGTATTCGCGTGCTCGGCTCTATTTCCAGAATGGGGTTACCAGTGACCAGCTGTGGGATCTTCGTCGTCGACTCGTTGCCGCGATCGCCGACAACAAACTCCAGCACGCTCCCAGGGCCCTCAAGGTCCACGTGGAGGCCCCCCCCTGGAAGAAGCCCCATCTGGATGCCGCTGGGATCTTTCAGGCCAAGTTCAAGAGTTTCAAGAAGCATCATTCGAATCTCAGGGCTGAGACGGGACCACCGATTACGTTCATGTGGGGCTCCAGTGACCACTTACCACCTCCAGGGAAGATTGTGGCCAAGTTCTCTCTGCAGAATGGCTGGGAGATTACTCGTGCAATGAATCAGCTTGAGCCAGGGATCAACATTGATGAGTTGCGAGCGAGGATTTCCAGTACGAACTAGAGGTGCCACGACACCATTGCGTCATGGAATGTGCGTCGGGCAGGTGCAGAGAACGGCCATGACATAATTAATTCACTACGTCGTTTAGATGTGGGACTCGCGGGGTTGTGCGAGTGTCAGTTCCTTTCAGTTCGTGATCTCAGCATGCGAGGTTACACAATTTTTCGGAGTACTTGTCGGAAGGCTGCGGTGATTATGTCTAAGTCTTGGAGAGACTCGCTCAGAGCCACATATCGTGGCAAAGGTTTTGTCATTTGTAGTTATTCTAGTGTTACGGTTATTGTTGCATATATGCCACATGAGAGTATCAATGCCCTTACGGAAGAACAGTATGAGCATGATGTGTATGAGCAGATATTGTTTGAAATATCCCAAGTGCTTCGCACACATAGGTCTAAGTTCCCGAAGCAGCCGCGGGACCTGGTCTTCTTGACAGATGCTAACGTCGAACTCGAGCCAGATTCGGAGGTCAACGGCTTTAGAGTTACTGGATCAGGGCTTCTGGAGGCGTCTGGGATTGCTGGGGAGTCTACGGAGATTGATACTGGGATGGAGGAGGGAGCGGATGACGGCAACCCGTATATGACTCAAACAAAACGTGGTGCACGAAAAGCCAGACCTCATAGGCTTGTCTCGGGCTTTGAAATTCGACGGGCGTCTAGGCTGCAATCTATGAGGAGGGCCCTACTGGACTTCTGCGGGCTCTGGGGCATCAGGATGGAGAACACATTTGGGCAGAGGAGGGTTACTTTCAAATCAGGTACGGGGGTGGAGAAGGTACTCGACTATGTTGGTGTCAGCCGTCGTTTACACAGGCAGGAGCTCACCGTAGGCTGGATGCTGCCTTCGGAAGTCGGCCACGCCTGGACGGAGCACCCTTGCAGCAGATACGAGCGTGCGCTGTCTGACCACGCCTGCATAGTTGTTCGCTTGTCTTGTGCACCGTCTGCGAAGAGACGGACCCAGCCTGCTCGAAAATTCATCCACTTGCAACCGGTGTCACAGCTGGAGTTTGCGAAGAACATGGACGATCGGGGCAGTCGTTACCGTGCTCTGTGCCAGGAAAATGCTGACCCAGAGGATCGACAGGAGATGTTGGATACGCTGGGACCTGACCTCATAAAGGCCGCCGAGGAGACCCCCCAGAAAGATATCAATCCCAGGAATAATGTGCCAAAGAAATCCGAGATCCACTGGGCCGCCCAGGCAAGTAAACGTGAAGCTCTTCGTCGGGGGGATAGAGAGGAGGCTAAACGGTGCTCAAAGATTGTGAGGAGAGAAAGAAGGAGGCTGAGGCAAGAGTACAGAGGTGGAGGACGGAAATGAACACGAGGAGGAGGAGGAGGGCCAAGACGGAGACGTTGATCCTTGCCAACGGGATGGAGTCTCAGAACCGCGAGGAGTGGGGGGACGAGATATTGGGGCACATGAAGTCTAAGGTGGAGGACCCCGAGGCCAGAGAGGTGACCCTGCGTGAGCTTCAGTCGCTGCGTGGTCTATGTTCGGGAAGCGGATCCTCAGAGGTGTTCTCGATGTCGCTCCTGCTGCGGGCGAGGGCGAAGCTGTCCACGGGAAAGGCCCCAGGTCCCGACAACGTGACTGTCACGATGTTGAAACAGCTCTCGTGGGCATCTGTGCGACGTGTTCTGGTGAGCTTCCAAGGTGTGTATTCCAGAAGGTTATGTTGTCCTGACAGTTGGCGTCAACTAGCTGCCACACTCATGCCAAAAGAAATGGACATAAAACATTTGACAGATACACGTATGCTATGTCTACAGTCGTGTCTTATGAAATGGTACATGACATGTATTGTGATGTTGATTGAGAAGAGGATTGAGGAGCACCGACACTATGTATGCCTGTACGGATTCAGATCGGGACGTAAAACATCGGAAATCACCAGCGTTGCCAAGAGGCTCAGCCAGCACTCCGCTGTCTGGGGCAAAGGAGACAGTTTGTGGCTTGCCAATCTTGATATCTTACAAGCTTTCGATCATGTTACTCCGTGCCTCGCCATGCGCTGTCTTCGTGCTCTTGACATACCAGCTGATCTCATTGTGGCGTTGATTGAACCCATGATGGATAATCAGTGCGTGGCCAGCTTCGAGGGCATCGAGGCATCGTCAGCGGTCTATTGGGACAAATCTATTCGAACGGGAGGAGTAGAGGGACCTATGATTTTTCTGGCAGTTTCTATTGTACTCTGGAGAGATGTTATCGACAGGTGGAGGCGAGAAACGCAGTACGGCATCAAATTGGAAAATGATGAGCGCATGTTCAATGGTGAGCGTATGACCCACAGTTTCTGGGCAGACAATCTCTTGTTGTACGCGAAGACCCGCACTGACCTTGAGTTGATGGTGCGTGACATGAGCATCCCCCTGATGAATGCAGGAATGACCTGGAAGCCGAAATCTTTGATGTATATTTACTTTGGTGCGCCGCCTGGCATCCCGCCGTCCCCTGAGCAGGATATCCGTGTGCTGGTGCCGTCTAGTGACGCCGCTCTTGGGACCCGAGAAGTGGTCCTACCGCGTGTTCAAGCGTTTGAGATCCTGGGAGCCACTCTGGAGGAGACCTGGAAGGACCACTCGGACTCAGAGGCCATGCTCCAGAAAGCCCAGAGGATGTTCTTTGGGGAAATCGCGTATTACCGCTGTTCTGGGATTGACTTGGCTGAAAGATTTACTCGCTATCAAGCTAAAGTGATTGCTGCATTATTATTCAACTGTGAGGGCAGAACGCCCGACTATTCTACCATTGCTGCTGTTCACTATTTTGAAGGCAGATGTCTAGCTATAATGTCAGGTATACGCAAGCGGAGAACTGAAGGCTGGTCTGAGTTTCAACGTAGGCGATACAAAGCGGGACGACAGAGTTTTGCTGGACTTGGATTCCGAAGTGCGGTGCAGATATGGATATTTCGTTGTTGGGATTGGGCTAAGGATGTCTCAGTTGCTGCAAGTATTCGTATGAGGAGATACACAACACACACAGAGGAGGAGGAGGGAGAGACGGTACCAAATCGGCGTCAGAGGAAAACTCGGGCGATGGCGGCGGCGGCGACTTCTCAAACATATCATGTATCTCAGATATCCCAGATGTCGAGTGGCTGTCGCCGGCGTACACCAGATGATCAGCCTGCCATACCTGAGGAGTCGGACATGTCACGTGAATGGATGATATCTAGGCTGGCCATGTTACATGGAAGGGGGAAGTGGACGGAACATCGTGACACATGTATTCTAGCATTGCCTGTAAAAGATAGGAAAGCAGCTGACACGCATGAACATAGGCGGCCGCCCCCGTGGACATACTGCGTGGGACTGGTGCTTGTGCGATCTCTTTGGTTGTGAGTGGTACCTCTCATTCGACAGCTCCGCTGGGTCCCGTGAGAAATACTGCAAGCATTTGCTGACTGTGATTGGTATGCAACACTTGTTCGACTTGTTTGTTCTACCCAGGCCGCCTGGTGTGAGACATGTGAAGGCAGAGGAGGAGGAGGAGAGTGAGATGAATGAGAGGATGAGCAAACGTATTGCCGCTAATTTTGAGAATGAAACGGAGTGGAGGTGTGAGAATATTGAGCGTCTTGGGATGGAGATCTTGGGAGATAGTAAGACTGTTGTAAACTGGATGTGTGGTGAGTGGCAGATTCGCAACAAGCAATATGTACGACTGGTGGGAACACTACAAAATACGGTATCGATGCTGTCTGGATGGGGACTGACCTCACCTGCATCGGGACAGAATCTGTATAAGCATTTCTTTCGTGAGGGTAATGAGCGTGCGGATAAATTGTCGTGGGAGGCCAGAGGTGGCCAAACTATTACTCGCTGGTTTGCATATGATAAGTTCCTCAGTACTCGTAAGACTGCTCTCCGTGGTGCATTCGATGGGGGTGTCAGTAATGAAGGATGTGGAGGTGGGTGGTGGCTTCAGATTGGCGTTGTAGGTAGAGGTTCCAGCGTGCAGGTTGATTTTCCCATCTCCTCCTCCTCCTCCTCCTCTTCCTCCTGCACCAGCTCGCACAGCTTCCATTGGCACGATGTGGCCGAGGAGGCGATGAGCTTGCCTCCTGGTAGCACGGTAACCTGCTGTGAACTAGCTGCCTGCGCTGCCCTGACGAGAGCTGCTGCTAAGGTGGCGTGCGCTCTGCTTCGACCTACCTAAGATGGTGGGGGCTCAGTTGCACTGCTCCGCCGATTCGGATTCGGATTCTAGTGGCGGACCGCAAACCGCAAAAAAAAGCTGCATCGTGCAGTCCGGCAGCCTGCCCCTGGCCCGCCGCGCGGGGGGCGCGTGGCGATCGGGCCACTTCGGCGACTTCGGCTGCCTGCACTTGTTTGCGGCATTTGTTTGCTTCCCGAGGCAAGCAGGCCGCCTGCACTTGTTTGCGGCGTCAGGGAGTCACACGTTTGTCGCCTAGAGTGATATTGCACTGCCTTTCATTTGACACGTTTGATCGCCTTGAGTGGTCTTCAATTGATTTGTTTTGCTGGGTGCTTCCGAGGCAGTCTCTGCAATCTTTCGCTATGCCACACGTACGGAGTGCAAGTGCTCGCATTATGCGTCGGGCGCTGGCTGTTCAAAACGGATACTGTGTGCATTCACCTGTTCGTTTGCCTCTGGAAGGTTTGGTGCCACCTACGTGTCTCCCACCACCAGGGCTGGAACGGACGACTGCCGATTTGGTTCTAGATTATCTCTTGTTGCGCGATCCACCTGTTGTTAGATACAGTTTGGAGGAGGAGGAGGCTGCCATTACGACCGTTTCGGGAATCTTTCTTGCCGTATGCTTCAAGCCAAATATCCATGTGCCCCTTCGGCAAATGCTGGAGTGCTGGCTGCTGATTCCGTGTTTGATGTTGGATTGCAGACTCGGTATAATCATTTGGAGGTGGAGCAAGCTGCCGTTGCGACACTCTCGGACAATTTTTCTTGCAGTTTGATGCGGGAGGAGGTTGGTCAGGGATTCGGAGGCGATCAGTTCTCTCAGATGATGGTGGTTTGCCCACGGGTCTCTTCGGTAGATATTGGAGTGCAGGCTTCTTCTAGTATGGATGTTGCGGACTCTCATTGTGAAGTCGGCTGTCAGACAGAGAGTGTCGTTGGGATGGAGGGAGGAGCTTCCGGAGTTCTTCTTGGGAAAGTGACCGTGGCGGCGGAGGAGGAGCTGGAGGCGCCCTCGAGTGCGGAGTCTTCTCCGAACGTGCAGTCTGATTCCGATGGCCGCGCCTTGTCAGGTGCGTCCCAGGGGTGTCTGAATCGTCCCGTCACGCTCAATGAGGTATCGAATCCTGTACGAGGTCACCGCAAAAGCAGAGGCAAAGGCCAACGATATCATAGCAGCGCCAAGCCGGCCAAGAGCTCTAAAGGCGCCAACATACGAGGAACTGTTCTTGGGAAAGTGACTGAGGAGGCGGAGGAGGAGTCGGAGGCAGTATCCGATGTCACGCTCGTCGTGGCATCGAACCCTGGCTGCAAGAACGAGGAGGAGGAGAATGTTCATATTGAAGCTGTTGCTCAGATGGAGCAGGAGGAGGTGGCTCAGGAGGATTTTCGCCTGTACCTGGAGAAGGCGCTAAATCTTCGTATCAGAAAATACAGATTTGTACGGACGACTGCTACGGACGACGTCGTGTCAACGGTGCACGTGCCAGATTTCCTTTCTGAATTTCGAGCCTGCGATGAGGACGAACGGGACTGTTGGATTTGGGATGCGTTCCAAACCTTCAGGGATCACGATTCAATCGAAGCCGTCTTACATGACCTTCAGCAGGTTATGGACAGTGCTGCCCAGCCGTCTGCTCTTGTGAAAGAGGCGAAACACCTCTATGACAACTTTATGGAATTATGTGAATTGCAGAGCAGCGGAGAGCTTGATGAAATTATTTGAATTGACTACGCATGCTTCTGTTGTGTTTGTCCCTTCCTCTCCCCCGCTGTTTCTGCCCCTGGGCTCGCTTTGGCTCCTTGGGCTTCCCTGCTCCCCGCTTGCTCTCCCTTTGGCTCCCCGCTGGCTGGACTCATGAGAGCTACAGGCCGTGCTGTTCGTGTTGCTTTCAATTCATGTATCAGTGTTCTGACTTCATATATTTACGACAACAGAGACATTGTATCAGATGTATCCGTGGAGGATCGTGGGAGGCCAGAGGTGGCCAAACTATTACTCGCTGGTTTGCATATGATAAGTTCCTCAGTACTCGTAAGACTGCTCTCCGTGGTGCATTCGATGGGGGTGTCAGTAATGAAGGATGTGGAGGTGGGTGGTGGCTTCAGATTGGCGTTGTAGGTAGGGGTTCCAGCGTGCAGGTTGATTTTCCCATCCTCCTCCTCCTCCTCCTCCTCTTCCTCCTGCACCAGCTCGCACAGCTTCCATTGGCACGATGTGGCCGAGGAGGCGATGAGCTTGCCTCCTGGTAGCACAGTAACCTGCTGTGAACTAACTGCCTGCGCTGCCCTGACGAGAGCTGCTGCTAAGGTGGCGTGCGCTCTGCTGCGACCTACCTAAGATGGTGGGGGGCTCAGTTGCACTGCTCCGCCGATTCGGATTCGGATTCTAGTGGCGGACCGCAAACCGCAAAAAAAACCAAGGTTGACGGTTTACCGCCGGCGCCCAGTTGGCCGACCCGGCCCCGACGGACAAAGTGACAACTTTTGGGTGGTTTTGCAAATATTTGAAAGATATTTGACAATTTATTTTGAGAAAGCAGATTTTTCGCACCTGTAGACGAATATGATGGCCTCTCCGTCTTAATATGAGCTCTCTAGATGCACTTTTACTATCAAAACACTTGGCGGAACCAACTTCATATCGACATGAAAAAAATCATGTTTTCTCTTTCTCGAGAAATGCTTCCAGAAGCGCTCTCTTTTGATGCTGAGCATTCTTACGCGTGCCAGGAGCTCTACGAGGTTCCCGGCGGTGACCAGGTTGACGGTTTACCGCCGGCGCCAGTTCCGGGGCGCTGGAGAGCTAGTTGGCAAGAAAAATCTCGACGGACATTTTGGTGACTTTGGTCGGTTGAAAATTTTCTTCTCGAAATTCAACCATTCGTTAGAGCTCTAGTATTTTTTCCCGTGATATTCGATCTTATTCCCGCTCGGCATCTTGATCTCAGCTCGATCGGGTACATTTTACTGCCAAAAAGCACTGCGGCGGGATCGACCGTTTCGAGTCATCTTGATTGGCGCTGTCGGTTTTCTCAAGATAACTCGAGCTTCAGGACAGCTACAGAGCTGGTAGGCACAGCTAATCGATGCAGAATGATCAGGCGCGTTTGCCTGTTGAAGCGAGAGGTCTGAACTCGGTCTGCTAGCCGAGCTAGGTCCGCAAACCTATTCGTATCATTCGAGTCATCTTGACAAACGCTCTTGGGTTTCTGTACTTAACTCGAGCTACAGGACAGCTACAGAGCTGATGCGTACAGAATCTGATTCAGAATAAGCAGTGGCCGTTCTCTCTTGAACCCAGAGCTCTGAACTCGGTCTGCTGCCCGTTCTAGAATCGCGAAACTATTCGTATTGTTCGAGTCATCTTGAGAGATGATGTCGGTTCTCTGCGCTCAACTCGGGCTGTGGGGGGGCTGCATGGCTGGTAATCACTGGAATCGATTCGGAGACATCAGATCCGTCCGCCTTTCGAATCCAGAGCTCTGAACTCTGTCTGCTGCCCAAACTAGGTGCGAAACTATTCGTATTGTTCGAGTCGTCCTGAGAGGTGCTGTCGGTTTCCTGTTTTTAACTCGGCCTGTAGTGGCTGCAGGGCTGGTAATCAGAGGAATCGATTCAGAGACATCAGACGCGTCCGCCTGTCGCATGCAGAGGTCTGAAGTCGGTCTGATACTTGAGCTAGGTTTGCCAAACTGTTCGTATTGTTCGAGTCATCTTGAGAGGTGCTGTCGATTTACGCACGTAACTCGGGCTGTAGGGGAGCTACAGAGCTCGTACAGAAGACAATCCAGAAGCATCGGGGGCGTTCGGCTGTTGCATCCGAGAGGTTTGAAATTGCTTGGGCTGGACCTTTTGCTGACTTTTGGTCGGTTGAAAATAACTCGTAGAGCTTCCCTTAGCAAGTTATTGCTGGAAGCTTAAGAGTAATTCCGGGGCGCTGGAGAGCTAGTTGGCAAGAAAAATCTCGACGGACCTTTTGGTGACTTTTGGTCGGTTGAAAATTTTGTTCTCGAAATTCAACAATTCGTTTGAGCTCTAGTATTTTTTCCCGTGATATTCGATCTTATTCCCGCTCGCCATCTTGATCTCAGCTCGATCGGGTACCTTTTACTGCCAAAAAGCAGGGGCGGGATCGGCCGTTTCAAGTCATCTTGACACGCGATGACGGTTTTCTGAACATAACTCGAGCTTTAGGACAGCTACAGAGCTGGTAAGCACAGCTAATCGATCAGAATGATTAGGCGCGTTCGCCCGTTGAATCCAGAGGTCTGAACTCGGTCTGCTAGCCGAGCTAGGTCCGCAAACCTATTCGTATTATTCGAGTCATCTTGACAGACGCTCTCGGTTTTCTGTACTTAACTCGAGCTATAGGACAGCTACAGAGCTGATACTTACAGAAACTGATTCAGAAATCATCAGTCGCATTTGTATGCTGATTTCAGAGCTCTGAACTCGGTCTGCTGCCCGATCTAGAATCGCGAAACTATTCGTATTGTTCGAGCCATCTTGAGAAGTGCACTCGGTTTTTTGCACACAACTCGGGCTGGGGGGGGGTACAGTGCTGGTGGTCACAGGAATCGATTTGAAGACATCAGCCGCGTCCGCCTGTCGAATCCAGAGCTCAGAACTCGGTCTGCTGCCCGAACTAGGTCCGTGAAACTATTGTATTGTTCGAGTCATCCTGAGAGGTGCTGTCTGTTTTCTGCACTTAACTCGGTCTGTAGGGGGGCTGCAGGGCTGGTAATCACACGAGTCGATTCGCAGACATCAGACGCGATCGCCTGTCGCATTCAGAGGTCTGAACTCGGTTCGATACTCGAGCTGGGTTGCCAAACTATTCGTTTTGTTAGAGTCATCTTGAGAGGTGCTGTCGATTTACGCACGTAACTCGGGCTGTAGGAGAGCTACAGAGCTCGCAAAGAAAACAATCCAGAAGCATCGGGAACGTTCGGCTGTTGCATCGAGAAGTCTGAAATCGCTTGGGCTGAAAAAACTATTCGTTCTCTGCTTTTTTTCCCACGTTATATCAGGAAGCTCTACGAGTCCCCCGGCGGTAAGGAAGGTTGACGGCTTACCGCCGGCGCCCAGTTTTGTTCTCGAAATTCAACAATTCGTTTGAGCTCTAATATTTTTTCCCGTGATATTCGATCTTATTCCCGCTCGCCATCTTGATCTCAGCTCGATCGGGTACCTTTTACTGCCAAAAAGCACTCCGGCGGGATCGGCCGTTTCGAGTCATCTTGATACGCGCTGTCGGTTTTCTCAAGCTAACTCGAGCTTCAGGACAGCTACAGAGCTGGTAAGCACAGCTAATCGATCCAGAATCATTAGGCGCGTTCGCCCGTTGAATCTAGAGTCTGAACTCGGTCTGCTAGCCGAGCTAGGTCCGCAAACCTATTCGTATTATTCGAGTCATCTTGACAGACGCTCTCGGTTTTCTGTACTTAACTCGAGCTATAGGACAGCTACAGAGCTGATACTTACAGAAACTGATTCAGAAATCATCAGTCGCATTTGTATGCTGAATTCAGAGCTCTGAACTCGGTCTGCTGCCCGATCTAGAATCGCGAAACTATTCGTGTTGTTCGAGCCATCTTGAGAAGTGCACTCGGTTTTCTGCACACAACTCGGGCTGGGGGGGGTACAGTGCTGGTGGTCACAGGAATCGATTTGAAGACATCAGCCGCGTCCGCCTGTCGAATCCAGAGCTCAGAACTCGGTCTGCTGCCCGAACTAGGTCCGTGAAACTATTGTATTGTTCGAGTCATCCTGAGAGGTGCTGTCTGTTTTCTGCACTTAACTCGGTCTGTAGGGGGGCTGCAGGGCTGGTAATCACACGAGTCGATTCGCAGACATCAGACGCGATCGCCTGTCGCATTCAGAGGTCTGAACTCGGTTCGATACTCGAGCTGGGTTGCCAAACTATTCGTTTTGTTAGAGTCATCTTGAGAGGTGCTGTCGATTTACGCACGTAACTCGGGCTGTAGGAGAGCTACAGAGCTCGCAAAGAAAACAATCCAGAAGCATCGGGAACGTTCGGCTGTTGCATCGAGAAGTCTGAAATCGCTTGGGCTGAAAAAACTATTCGTTCTCTGCTTTTTTTTCCCACGTTATATCAGGAAGCTCTACGAGTCCCCCGGCGGTAAGGAAGGTTGACGGTTTACCGCCGGCGCCCAGTTTTGTTCTCGAAATTCAACAGTTCGTTTGAGCTCTAATATTTTTTCCCGTGATATTCGATCTTATTCCCGCTCGCCATCTTGATCTCAGCTCGATCTGGTACCTTTTACTGCCAAAAAGCACTCCGGCGGGATCGGCCGTTTCGAGTCATCTTGATACGCGCTGTCGGTTTTCTCAAGCTAACTCGAGCTTCAGGACAGCTACAGAGCTGGTAAGCACAGCTAATCGATTCAGAATGATTAGGCGCGTTCGCCTGTTGAATCCAGAGGTCTGAACTCGGTCTGCTAGCCGAGCTAGGTCCGCAAACCTATTCGTATTATTCGAGTCATCGTAGCAGACGCTCTCGGTTTTCTGTACTTAACTCGAGCTGTAGGGCAGTTACAGAGCTCATAGTCACAGAAATCGATTGGGAATCAACAGGCGCGTTCGTCTGTTCAATCGAGAGCTCTGAACTCGGCCTGCTGCCCGAGCTAGGTCTGCGAACCTATTCGTATTGTTCGAGTCATCTTGAGAAGTGCTCTCGGTTTTCTGCACTTAACTCGTGCTGGGGGAGGGCTACAGTGCTGCTGGTCACAGAAATCGATTTGGAAACATCAGGCGCGTCCGTCTGTCGAACCGAGAGCTCGGAACTCGGTGTGCTGCTCGAACTAGCTCCGCGAAGCTATTGTATTATTCAAGTCATCCTGAGAGCTGCTGTCGGTTTCTGCACTTAACTCGGGCTGTAGGGGGGCTGCAGGGCTGGTAATAACAGGAGTCGATTCACAGACATCAGACGCGTCCGCCTGTCGCATTCAGAGGTCTGAACCCGGTTTGATACTCGAGCTGGGTTCCAAACTGTTCGTTTTTTTGTCAGAGTCATCTTGAGAGGTCTGGCTTGGGCTGAAATTCCCTTGAATTTTTTCCACATTATATACTGTCAGGAAGCTCTACGAGTCCCCCGGCGGTAACAAAGGTTGACGGTTTACCGCCGGCGCCCAGTTGGCAAGACAAATCTCGACGGACGTTTTGACGACTTTTGCTCGGTTGAAAATTTTGTTCTCGAAATTCAACCATTCGTTAGAGCTCTAGTATTTTTCCCGTGATAGTCGATCTTATTCCCGCTCGCCATCTTGATCTCAGCTCGATCGGGTACCTTTTACTGCCAAAAAGCACTGCGGCGGGATCGGCCGTTTTGAGTCATCTCGATTCGCGCTGTCGGTGTTCTCAAGATAACTCGAGCTTTAGGACAGCTAGAGAGCTGGTAAGCACAGCTACTCGATTCAGAATGATCAGTCGCGTTCGTCTGTTGAACCCAGAGGTCTGAACTCGGTCTGCTAGCCGAGCTAGGTCCGCAAAATTGTTCGTGTTATTCGAGTCATCTTGACAGACGCTCTCGGTTTTCTGTACTTAACTCGAGCTATTGGACAGCTATAGAGCTGATACGTACAGAAACCGATTCAGAATCATCAATTGCGTTTGTCTGTTGAATCCAGAGCTCTGAACTCGGTCTGCTGCCCGATCTAGAATCGCGAAACTACTCGTATTGTTCGAGTCATCTTCAGAGATGCTGTCGGTTCTCTGCACTGAACTCGGGCTGTGGTGGGGCTGCATGGCTGGTAATCACTGGAATCGATTCGGAGACATCAGGTGCGTCCGCCTTTCGAATCCAAAGCTCGGAACTCTGTCTGCTGCCGAGTCCGCGAAACTATTATTGTTCGAGCCATCCTGAGGTGCTGTCGGTTTCCTACACTTAACTCGGGCTGTAGGGGGGCTGCAGGGCTGGTAATCACAGGAATCGATTCAGAGACATCAGACGCGTCCGCCTGTTGCATGGAGAGGTCTGAACTCGGTCTGATACTCGAGCTAGGTTTGCCAAACTATTCGTATTGTTCGAGTCATATTGAGAGGTGCTGTCGATTTACGCACGTAACTCGGGCTGTAGGAGAGCTACAGAGCTCGTACAGAAGACAATCCAGAAGCATCGGGAGCGTTCGGCTGTTAAATCGGAGAGGTCTGAAATTGCTTGGGCTGAACAACTATTTTTTCAGTGTAATTTTCTTTGACATTACATGTTGTCAGGAAGCTCTACGAGTCCCCCGGCGGTACTGAGACGGTACCAAATCGGCGTCAGAGGAAAACTCGGGCGATGGCGGCGGCGGCGGCTTCTCATGCATATCATGTATCTCAGATATCCCAGATGTCGAGTGGCTGTCGCCGGCGGACACCGGATGATCAGCCTGCCATACCTGAGGAGTCGGACATGTCACGTGAATGGATGATATCTAGGCTGGCCATGCTACATGGAAGGGGGAAGTGGACGGAACATCGTGACACATGTATTCTAGCGTTGCCTGCAAAAGATAGGAAGCAACTCACACGCATGAACATGGGCGGCCCTCCCCGTGGACATGCGGTGTGGGACTGGTGCTTGTGCGATCTCTTTGGTTGCGAGTGGTACCTCTCGTTCGACAGTTCCGCTGGGTCCCGAGAGAAATAGTGCAAGCATTTGCTGACTGTGATTGGTATGCAACACTTGTTCGACTTGTTTGTTCTACCCAGGCCACCTGGTGTGAGACACGTGAAGGCGGAGGAGGAGGAGGAGAGAGAGATGAATGAGAGGATGAGCAAACGTATTGCCGCTAATTATGAGAATGAAACGGAGTGGAGGTGTGAGAATATTGAGCGTCTTGGGATGGAGATCTTGGGAGATAGTAAGACGGTTGTAAACTGGATGTGTGGTGAGTGGCAGATTCGCAACAAGCAGTATGTACGACTGGTGGGAACACTACAAAATACGGTATCGATGCTGTCTGGATGGGGACTGACCTCACCTGCATCGGGACAGAATCTGTATAAGCATTTCTTTCGTGAGGGTAATGAGCGTGCGGATAGATTGTCGTGGGAGGCCAGAGGTGGCCAAACTATTACTCGCTGGTTTGCATATGATAAGTTCCTCAGTACTCGTAAGACTGCTCTCCGTGGTGCATTCGATGGGGGTGTCAGTAATGAAGGATGTGGAGGTGGGTGGTGGCTTCAGATTGGCGTTGTAGGTAGGGGTTCCAGCGTGCAGGTTGATTTTCCCATCTCCTCCTCCTCCTCCTCCTCCTCCTCTTCCTCCTGCACCAGCTCGCACAGCTTCCATTGGCACGATGTGGCCGAGGAGGCGATGAGCTTGCCTCCTGGTAGCACGGTAACCTGCTGTGAACTAGCTGCCTGCGCTGCCCTGACGAGAGCTGCTGCTAAGGTGGCGTGCGCTCTGCTGCGACCTACCTAAGATGGTGGGGGGCTCAGTTGCACTGCTCCGCCGATTCGGATTTGGATTCTAGTGGCGGACCGCAAACCGCAAACAAAAACGAAGGTTGACGGTTTACCGCCGTCTCCCAGTGCGTGTCCTCTTTGCTCTCCGTAGCCATTTTGGCTCAAGCCATTTGGCTCAAGGCGCTGGCATTTGATCCCCTCTGCCTGGGTAACCTCCAGTGGGATCGAGTGCGCGTCAGGGAGTCACACGTTTGTCGCCTAGAGTGATATTGCACTGCCTTTCATTTGACACGTTTGATCGCCTTGAGTGGTCTTCAATTGATTTGTTTTGCTGGGTGCCTCCGAGGCAGTCTCTGCAATCTTTCGCTATGCCACACGTACGGAGTGCAAGTGCTCGCATTATGCGTCGGGCGCTGGCTGTTCAAAACGGATACTGTGTGCATTCACCTGTTCGTTTGCCTCTGGAAGGTTTGGTGCCACCTACGTGTCTCCCACCACCAGGGCTGGAACGGACGACTGCCGATTTGGTTCTAGATTATCTCTTGTTGCGCGATCCACTTGTTGTTAGATACAGTTTGGAGGAGGAGGAGGCTGCCATTACGACTGTTTCGGAGAATCTTTCTTGCCGTATGCTTCAAGCCAAATATCCATGTGCCCCTTCGGCAAATGCTGGAGTGCTGGCTGCTGATTCCGTGTTTGATGTTGCATTGCAGACTCGGTATAATCATTTGGAGGTGGAGCAAACTGCCGTTACGACACCCTCGGAGAATTTTTCTTGCAGTTTGATGCGGGAGGAGGTTGGTCTGGGATTCGGGGGCGATCAGTTCTCTCAGATGATGGTGGTTTGCCCACGGGTCTCTTCGGTAGATATTGGAGTGCAGGCTTCTTCTAGTACGGATGTTGCGGACTCTCATTGTGAAGTCGGCTGTCAGACAGAGAGTGTCGTTGGGATGGAGGGAGGAGCTGCCGGAGTTCTTCTTGGGAAAGTGATTGTGGCGGCGGAGGAGGAGCTGGAGGCACCCTCGAGAGCGGAGTCTTCTCCGAACGTGCAGTCTGATTCTGATAGCCGCGCCTTGTCAGGAGCGTCCCAGGGGTGTCTGAATCGTCCCGTCACGCTCAATGAGGCATCGAATCCTGTACGAGGTCACCGCAAAAGCAGAGGCAAAGGCCAACGATATCATAGCAGCGCCAAGCCGGCCAAGAGCTCTAAAGGCGCCAACATACGAGGAATTGTTCTTGGGAAAGTGACTGAGGAGGCGGAGGAGGAGTTGGAGGCAGTATCCGATGCCACGCTCGCCGTGGCATCGAACCCTGGCTGCAAGGACGAGGAGGAGGAGAATGTTCTAATTGAAGCTGTTGCTCAGATGGAGCAGGAGGAGGTGGCTCAGGAGGATTTTCGCGTGTACCTGGAGAAGGCGCTGAATCTTCGTATCAGAAAATACAGATTTGTACGGGCGACTGCTACGGACGACGTCGTGTCAACGGTGCATGTGCCAGATTTCCTTTCTGAATTTCGAGCCTGCGATGAGGACGAACGGGACTGTTGGATTTGGGATGCGTTCCAAACCTTCAGGGATCACGATTCAATCGAAGCCGTCTTACATGACCTTCAGCAGGTTATGGGCAGTGCTGCCCAGCCGTCTGCTCTTGTGAAAGAGGCGAAACACCTTTATGACAACTTTATGGAATTATGTGAATTGCAGACCAGCGGAGAGCTTGATGGAATTATTTGAATTGACTACGCATGCTTCTGTTGTGTTTGTCCCTTCCTCTCCCCCGCTGTTTCTGCCCCTGGGCTCGCTTTGGCTCCTTGGGCTTCCCTGCTCCCCGCTTGCTCTCCCTTTGGCTCCCCGCTGGCTGGACTCATGAGAGCTACTGGCCGTGCTGTTCGTGTTGCTATCAATTCATGTTGTTTTTGCACTTCGGTATCAGTGTTCCGACTTCAGATATTTACGACAACAGAGACATTGTATCAGACGTATCCGTGGAGGATGGGACGGTGGCGTGAGTGATGAAGGCTCTGCTCTAGGTTGCTTTGTGGGGGTCTCTCTTGGGGACAACCACTGGCGACGAGTGTTCCAGGAGGCTTCTTTGCTCCCTCTGGGGGCCACTGTTACAGAAAGCGAGCTTGCAGCTTGTGAACGCCTGCTGCAAGGTGTTCGGCAGATTATCTCGGATATTCTCGAGCCTCCAACCCCAAAGGGGTTGAGAGGGCGTGAGGGCCTCCAGGGGCTCTGCGCGGCTAGGGCGCTCGCGCCCTGTGTAGCCGACCCCAACACCCAACACCAAGTGGACGCTACCAAGTCGACCCGGCCAGAAAGGACAAAGTGGTAACTTTTGGTCGGTTTTGCTAAGATTTGAAAGATATTTGACAATTCATTTTGAGAAAGCAGATTTTTACTCCGAGCATTGACATGTAAACTTTGTTCCCTGAGCAGCTCAGCCCTCTAGCCCCATTTTTAGAACCAGTTCACTTGGAGGAACCGACTTCATGTTGACTCCGAAAAATCTGATCTTGAAGCTTTGTAGAAAAGCTCCCAGGAGCTCTCGCTTTGATCCTGAGCTTTCTCACGGATGCAAGGAGCTCTACGAGGTTCCCGGCGGGGACCAAGTTGACGGTTCACCGCCGGCGCCAGTTTTTTTCTCGAAATTTGAACATTCGTGAGAGCTCTATGAAATTCCCGGAAAGCTCGCTGAGAGCTAAAGGGTTCAAGATGAGAAGCCGGACGGTGGTGGTGCCCGCCAGGAGCTCCTCCACGACGGTTCACAGGCCTCGCAGAAACTCCGGCGAGCCGGCAGCGGGTTCGGGGGCGCGTTCCACGTGTTGCTGGAAGCTTAAGAGTAATTCCCGCGCGCTGGAGGGCTAGTTCGTAAGACAAATTGATGTAGAATGATTAGGCGCGTTCGTCTGTTGAATTCAGAGGTCTTAACTCGGTCTGTTAGCCGAGCTAGGTCCGGAAACCTATTCGTATTATTCGAGTCATCTTGACAGGAACTCTCGGTTTTCTGCACTTAACTCGAGCTGATATTTACAGAAACGGATTCAGAAACATCAGTTGCGTTTATCTGTCGAATACAGAGCTCTGCACTCGGTCTGCTGCCCGATCTAGAATCGCGAAACTATTCGTACTGGTCGAGTCATCTTGAGAAGTGCTCTCGGTTTTCTTGACTCAACTCGCGCTGAGAGGGGCTACAGTGCTGGTGGTCACAGGAATCGATTTGAAGACATCAGGCGCGTCCGCCTGTCGAATCCAGAGCCTTGGAACTCGGTCTGCTGCCCGAATTAGGTCTGCGAAACTACTGAATTGTTCCATCCTGAGAGATGCTGTCGGTGTTCTGCACTTAACTCGGGCTGTCGGGAGGCTGCAGGGCTGGTAATGACAGGAGTCGATTTGCAGACATCAGACGCGTCCGCCTGTCGCATTGAGAGGTCACAAAATATTCACTATGAGTCGGAATGTTGGTAGGTGTTGTCGGTTTTCTCAACTTAAGTCGAGCTAGGAAACTCTACGAGTCTCTCGGCGGTAACCAAGGTTGACGGTAAAATCGCCGGCGCCCAGTTGGCAAGAAAAATCTCGACGGAACTTTTGCTGACTTTTGGTCTGTTGAAAATTTTGTTCTTAAAATTTGACAATTCGTTGGAGCTCTAGTATTTTTTCCCATGAGATTGGATATTACTCCCGCTCGCCATCTTCATCTCAGCTCGATCGGGTGAATATTACTATCGAAAAGCTCTGTGGCGGGATCGGCCGTTTCGAGTCATCTTCATACGCGCTGACGGTTTTCTGAACATAACTCGAGCTTTGCCACAGAGCTGGTAAGCACAGCTAATTGATGTAGAATGATTAGGCGCGTTCGTTTGTTGAATCCATAGGTCTGAACTCGGTCTGTTAACCGAGCTAGGTCCGCAAACCTATTCGTATTATTCGAGTCATCTTGACAGAAACTCTCGGTTTTCTGTACTTAACTCGAGCTGTAGAACAGCTACAGAGCTGATGCAAACAGAAACGGATTCAGAATCATCAGTTGCGTAAATCTGTCGAATCCAGAGCTCTGAACTCGGTCTGCTGCCCGATCTTGAATCGCGAAACTATTCGTATTGGTCGAGTCATCTTGAGAAGTGCTTTCGGTTTTCTTCACTCAACTCGCGCTGAGAGGGGCTACAGTGCTGTTGGTCACAGGAATCGATTTGAAGACATCAGGCGCGTCCGCCTGTCGAATCCAGAGCTCCGAACTCGGTCTGCTGCACGAATTAGGTCTGCGAAACTGTATTGTTCGAGTCAATGCTGTCGGTTTTCTGCACTTAACTCGGGCTGTAGGGGGGCTGCAGGGCTGGTAATGACAGGAGTCGATTTGCAGACATCAGACGCGTCCGCCTCTCGCATTCAGAGATAAAAAAATATTCACTATGAGTCGGAATGTTGGTAGGTGCTGTCGGTTTTCTCAACTTAAGTCGAGCTAGGAAGCTCTACGAGTCTCCCGGCGGTAACCAAGGTTGACGGTTCCTCGTAGAGCTCTTCGACATCGATGAGCTAGAGGAATTCCGGCGCGGGGTGGAGCTAGTTGGTCGACCCGACCAGAAAGGACAAAGTGACAACTTTTGGGTGGTTTTGCGAATCTTTGAAAGATATTTGACCATTTATTTTGAGAAAGCAGATTTTTCGCACCTGTAGACGACTATAACGGCCTCCGCGTCTTAATATGAGCTCTCTAGATGCACTTTTAATATCAAAACACTTGGCGCAACCAACTTTATGTCGACATCAAAAAAATCATGTTTTCTCTTTTTCGAGATGCTTCCAGAAGCCCTCTCTTTTGATGCTGAGCACTCTTACGCGTGCTAGGAGCTCTACGAGGTCCCCGGCGGTGACCAGGTTGACGGTTCACCGCCGGCGCCAGTTTTGTTCTCGAAATTTGAACATTCGTTAGAGCTCTAGTATTTTTTCCCGTGATATTCGATCTCGTTCCCGCTCGCCATCTTGATCTCAGCGATCAGGTCAATATTACTACCGAAAAGCTCTGTAGCGGGATCGGCCGTTTTGAGTCATCTTGATACGTGCTGACGGTTTTCTGAACATAACTCGAGCTTTAGGACAGCTACAGAGCTGGTGAGCACAGCTAATCGATGTAGAATGATTAGGCGCGTTCGCCTGTTGAATCCAGAGGTCTGAACTCGGTCTGTTAGCCGAGCTAGGTCCGCAAACCTATTCGTATTATTCGAGTCATCTTGACAGAAACTCTCGGTTTTCTGTACTTAACTCGAGCTGTAGAACAGCTACAGAGCTGATATTTACAGAAACCGATTCAGAATCAGTTGCGTTTGTCTGTCGAATCCAGAGCTCTGAACTCGGTCTGCTGCCCGATCTAGAATCGCGAAACTATTCGTATTGGTCGAGTCATCTTGAGAAGTGCTCTCGGTTTTCTTGACTCAACTCGCGCTGAGGGGGGCTACAGTGCTGGTGGTCACAGGAATCGATTTGAAGACATCAGGCGCGTCCGCCTGTCGAATCCAGAGCCTTGGAACTCGGTCTGCTGCCCGAATTAGGTCTGCGAAACTACTGAATTGTTCGAGTCATCCTGAGAGGTGCTGTCGGTTTTCTGCACTTAACTCGGGCTGTAGGGGGGCTGCAGGGCTGGTAATGACAGGATTCGATTCGCAGACATCAGACGCGTCCGCCTGTCGCATTCAGAGATCAAAAAATATTCACTATGAGTCGGAATGTTGGTAGGTGCTGTCGGTTTTCTCAACTTAAGTCGAGCTAGGAAGCTCTACGAGTCTCCCGGCGGTAACCAAGGTTGACGGTTTACCGCCGGCGCCCAGTCGATGAGCTAGAGGAAATCCGGCGCGGGGTGGAGCTAGATGGTCGACCCGGCCAGGATGGAGAATGTGATGACTTTCGGACGGTTTCGCTAAAATAACGCGTAGAGTTTCCCTTTGCTAGTTGCTTGAAGCTTAAGAGTAATTCCGGGGCGCTGGAGAGCTAGTTGGCAAGAAAAATCTCGACGGACCTTTTCTGTTGAAATCTCTAGGTGACTTTTGCTCGGTTGAAATTTCTCGAAATCCAAGAATTCGTCTGAGATCTGGTATTTTTCTGACCATATTCGATCTTATTCCCGCTCGCCGTCTTAATCTCAGCTCGATCGGGTATCTACTACTGCCAGAAAGCGTCGCGACGGGATCGGCCATTGGGAGTCATCTTGACACGTGTTGACGGTTTTCTGTACTAAACTCGAGATTAAGGAGAGCTACAGAGCTGGTACTTACAGAAATCGATTCAGAATTATCAGGCGCTTTCGTCTGTCTCATCCAGAGGTCTGAATTTGTTCTGCTACTCGAGCTAGGTCCGCAAAACTACCCGTATTCTTCGAGCCATCTTGACAGGTGCTGTCGGTTTTCTGTACTTAACTCGGGCTGTAGGACAGCTACAGAGCTGGTACGCACACGGATCAATTCAGAATGATCAGGAGCGTTCGTCTGTTGCATCGAGAGGTCTGAACTCGGTCTGCTACTCGAGCTAGGTCCGCGAAACTATTCGTATTCTTCAAGTTATCTTAAGAAACTTTGTCGGTGTTCTGTACTTAACTCGAGCTGTAGGAGAGCTACAGTGCTGGTACGCACAAACCTCGATTCAGAATCATCAGGCGCGTTCGTCTGATGCATCTAGAGCTCCGAACTCAGTCTTCTACTCGAGTTAGGTCCGCAAAACTATTTGTTTTCGACCGATTTCTTTTCGAAATGCTGGTGCATTTCTTCACTTAACTCTAGCTGCAGATGAGCTTGAGAGCTCTTCCGCACAGAAATCAGAAGGAAATCGTGAGGCGCGCTAGTCTGAAGTATCTAGACGCTTGGCTTGGCTCTGTTATCAGCGCCGAC